CACTCGTGAGATATTGTTCTTGCCACGAGAACATAAAATTCATATCTTCGAGCCACCGTGTAATATCCTCAATTTATTAATAAAATAAACATGAAAAAAATTCGCGTGGAGGAACTGCCGGAAGATCTTTCTTGAAGCCATTTTTTCTTATTCGAGAAAACTTTTTTCAAAGTTTCCGCACAAAATTTTCGTCATCATTTTAATACGTGATATCATTGGCCTAGGAAATTTCTTATAGTCTTTCAGCCGATCATAAACCAGAATTATGTATCATTTTCACTGGTGTTACACTTAAACTGAACTTCTCTCACCCAATCGGCATCGAGTAATTTTTTCATGTATATTATTTGATCCATAATCATGTAATTTATTCTTAAAAATGTATGTATGTATACTTAATTGGCCACTCCCCATTGGGGCTTTTCGGGACCAGTGTAAACAATGATAAATAAATATAAGGTAAATATAATGAAATGATGAGAAAAAAAAAAAAGAAAGAAAAAAGAACCAAAAAAGACTGCAGAATAATCATGCCATTCAATACGTTTAAGTTGTATGTTATGAGGAAGAACGATAAAAATGTTTGTTTGGGACAACCTGAAGTGCCCGCAGTTCCGTAAAAGCTGGGGTTCGTAATAGCGGGAGTTTCGGTCCAGACATTTCTTTGAATGTTCAGCCGGGAAATTAACTTGTCCGTAAAAGTGGATTGTCCAAAGGCAGAAGTAATGCTCGATTTGCGCCAATGAGCAGTAAAATGTCGATAATATGCCTTGGACCTATTTCGTTCCAAAGACTCATCTTTGACATGCAGGACAACATCGGAAGAAATCTTTCATTTTGAAACTACTGAAGTATCTCAATCACGGAAACAAAAAAGCGATGGATTTCAGGTGGTCGACTTGCACAAAAAATTTTTTCTTTGACAACAAGAATTTCACAGAATGAGCCCAAACTACGCCGGAGAAATTTGAAAACGCCACAATCATCGGTTATTCTGGATTTGTGTTTAAGGAAAACCAGGTCAGGAAAATCACATGATTATCGTGAATCGTAATATCTTCGCTTTAGAAAAGCTCCATTTTCAAGACGTTTTCCGTCCACACTAAAACGTAAAGCCGGCGTTTTCCAATTCCTCCGGTTTGAAGAGCGTTTTTGAAAAGCTCCATTTTCGTGACGATCATTGGGAATGGTACGCCTAACCGTAGAAATTCAATAAAGCCGCGTTTTCAAATTTCTCCAGCGTAGTATGGACGGGGCCTGGGTATTTTTGTTGTAATGTCTCGTTCATTTTAAGGGCGGCGCTTTTGCGAGTAACTTTACTTCAACATGGTGTGGGTCATGCACCGTCATTTAACACCCTGGGCGCAGTGCGGCCATTATCGACCCCAGGGCCCTTTGACTTGTGGTTGCCCTTTTTTTTGCGAGTGTTTGTTAGAACTCTTTTACCCAGTTTCCTTATGCCGCGACATGCCTGGCACATACCTGAACTGGTATACCGTTACGGCATTATGCGAACATTTGTCGTCGAAGAATAATCTGTCCCAGACACTGACCGCCAGTTTACGAAGTTGAGTCGCAGTAAACTTCGCAGGCAAGCTGGCGGTTGTCGCAGGTGAAAATATTTTTTTGTGCACATCATCTACGGTAACCGGCGGCGAAATGTATCACGTGGCAACTCGATGTTTTTCCCACAATTCCCCACTTTCAAAATGGCGAAATGTGAAGAGGTCCCGTGGTCCGAATCAACCGATGCTAATGGACGAAATACGAAAGTACCGGCCTATGTGACAAATTCTGTCACGAGTACTATAACGACCAACGGGTAAAATTGATACGATCCATGGTTACAGATGGAATGGTTGAAAATTGCTCCAATTCTACGATAATTTGAGTTGGTCGGCGATCCATAGTAGGTGCGTCGGAGACCGACTGGAACAGATCGCCAAACGTTGTCAGTTGCAGCCGGCGGTGACGTCGTAGTTTTGTCGGCGGCATATGAGAACCAGGCTTTTTGTGTTGGAGTAGCCAATTCCGGCCAGGAACGATGAGTGGCAGCTCCATTCCCAGCCCAAGTGCTTGCGTTCTTGTGAAAATCAAGCTTACTTCTCGGAAAAATTATTACGATCAATTTCCCTGAAAAAGGGCAAGAGAATTTTCCCGGGAGCTTAGTCTCGCGTGGACCAGAGGGAAGAGAGGAAGAGGGAATCATGATCTTGTTACAAGGCCTACACTGCCATTGGTTACCGGCGAGAGTCCTGGAAACGTGCTTCAAACAGTACCCGCTTCTGCGCCTGCTTACAACAGTCAGTGGAAGACCGCTGTACTCAGTAAATGGTCGCATGCATTGAACTCAACAACAGACTTCACTCTATTTATTGTGCTTGTTTATTGAGCATTTACAACACCGTCGCTCTGTCGCTAAATTACTTTTAAGTGAAAGACAAGAAATTCCCCTCACGAAAAATCAATAAAAGAATTTAACGCAGCTTAAATTGATTGTATATGCCGGTAAAATATAACCTTTAATAAGTTAATTCAATTCTCTGACAAGCTGAGACTGCAAAGTGCTAACATAAGATTATTCTACAACAGATTGGACAGGTCTACTAAAAATTCGTATTATGTATATATCGAAAAAGAGAGGTACATCGGAGAGGATCTTTCACAGAAGTTAACTAGGATACACTTAAGCTCCAAGAATTCACAAATATTGACAAAAAAGGCGTGGACAAATGCTAAAATCAATCTGAAAACAGAGGGCAGATAAAAAATTTCATAAATAACGTTGATATGAACAGACAGGAAATGTGGTACGAGAACCACATTCCCTGCGAAAAAAAAAGATACAATTTAGGAACGCGGGAAATGTAAATAGATGAAACGGATACAAGAAATGTTTTTACAACTGTTCTCTTGGACATAACCGCATTGAGGAATGATTAAATGACAGATATTTGATGTTGTAAACAGAGATGTATCAATCTTGTCCAACCGAGAGCAAGTAAAAAGTACTTTTACATCTCCGAGGACCTTAGAGCGGTTACTACCGTCCAGCAGTGAACGTTCGGCCTTCGGAAACGCTCGGATATCTTCCGAATATTCACGGAGATAACAGTGACCTTATAAGCGATAAATAAATTGCGTTTCAACCAATTAGAGCTGAGAAATTCAGCCACCCACTGTAGGCCTTATTCACTTTCGTATGCACGTGCGTCGCTTAAAATTAAAAAAAAGAAACAAAAACAAAAATTAAGGTTACTACTGTAAGTGCATAATAGGTGGATAATTTCAAATTATACCAACTGTTCAGTCTTGACATCATTACGATACAGCTAAATATCCCATGGAATCTTATTAAAGATACTCAATGGTAAGTACAGGGAAACGCAATTATGGTTATAAAGTGCTGTCTGCCATGACGTGCATTACGTGATCATTCTCTGAATTACAGTTTTCCAAAATGTTCTCACGAAACCATATTACGCAATATATCAAACACGAAAGGCCGTGTTTGACCAGATTTCCAAACACCGAGAAGAGAGTTGAAAATACGACGCGCAGCGGAGTATTTTTGACCAACTTCGAGGTGTTTAGAAATGTGATCAAACACTGTCTTGAGTGTTTGATATATCTTCTCAATCAAAACTAAAGCTAAGGAGAAAACAGAGAAATAAAATCGTAAAAATCTATGCTAATTAAGATAAAATATCCAAACGCCGCCCTTGATTTCCTTTGTTTAAACTTGATGAATTATTAATGAGTTTGAGAAATCTATGGAAGGCAACGACGAGACATTTTGCGCGGAGCTATGAGCTGGAAGAATTGCTAAATCTCCTCTCGAACGAGAATTCTTTACAGCAGAGTGTGTTTACATCTAATTCTGTTCTGTCAAAACTGAACTACGGAAATTAGTGGCTAAATCCGGTTTTTCTCGTAAAGCTGACCAGTTTCTTAATTCTCGTCACCTCGCTGGTCAGATATTGATCACTATTCTATTCTGACTGATGACCATAACTTAATAAAAGTTGCCAGGTTAACTGGAAAATTTTCAAGGCCTATAAAAGAATGCTAACTAACGTCCTACAATATAACGGTCCTTTAGCACGCTCACAATCTTAAAGGGCCATACTAATGTTCTAAGGGTTCCCTCCATCGTTGATCTTAAACTGCTCACCAAGATCTCGTGGAAATTGACATTCTCGACGGTTAAATTAATCTTATTTAATCTGACCAGTCTCCGTCACCCCTCACCTCTACAATGATTTCTAAGGGTTTCTGTTCAGCCCGGTTACTTTCGTTCAAAATCGTGTTTGAAAGGTTTGACTTGATTTTTAAGACAAAAATGTAACAGAATCAGCATCAAAATAGCGTAAGCTTTAACCTTAGTGGTGAACCATTTGACGTTTGAGGGTGCGAGTGAGTCAGTGATTTGGTACAGACACATTTTTTCAACCCTTTCATGCACTGTGTAACATGTTTTTTTCCTCAGCTCACTAAACGAGTTTAGTGGTCGCGTGCACGAATTTTTTTGGTAAGAGTATGCTTGTTGGATTTATATATATATTTTTAAATCACCATCCACCACGCCAAAACAAGTTCACCCCTATCAATAAAATGACACAAAGACACGAACAACAGTAACACCAATGAACTGTGATACATGTATAACACAATTACCCGCAATCGCAAGAAAGGTTGCCTCAGTTTTGGAATGGCGATGAAAAAAAAACAAAACAAAACAAAACAAAAAACTTAAAACTGCGGCATGGCCTATCTGGAATTTAATTTCATTACGCCGCGATCACGACTGGACCCATGGAAAAACAATTCAATTCTATATCTGACCCTATTATCACAAAAACTAATTTTATGATACTGGCTCTTTCGTTTAAATTCGTTTAAATTCGTTTATCGTACACTAAAACTCAAATGACTAAGCAGTTCACTTAAAGGAGCTCAGTCACGGTATTTTGACTTATTTTTGGCCAATTCAAATTATTTTTAAATTGAAGGAAACCTGAAAATAGTAGTTTACTAAAATGAAAACACCAAAAACTTCATCATAAACCATAAAGGAAAAAGGACGGTTAGGGATGGAGAAGATTAACACGGATTACAAACGACGAACTTGAAAAATTTAAGCTAAACACCGTGACGTAGCTCCGTTAACGTCATTTCACATTCTTTCACCAACATGGCAATTTATAAGGTCTACCCTATCGGTTTGCTATCAATTTAAGTTATATTCAAAATTTATCCACCATTTCCTTGGCCACCAAAGAGGCAGACATCTTGGTTTGATTGCCCAGTCAATGACTGAATTATTTTTTGCTTAGTGAAGCAACAAACCATATCGTTTCCCTTGACCAACGAGAAAAACAAAGAGGTCCCTGCCGAACAACTATTTATACCACTCAACCTTACACCTGTTGATATACACAACACTTATTGCTTAATACCAAACATAACGAAAACAAGGTTGACGAGTGATGGGACACAAAACGGACGTCCTTTTCGCGCTCCACATCTGGTCGGGCTAAACATATCCCCGGGAATTCCGCGGAACCCCCAAAGCAAGCCGGACACCCCTGAATTCCCATTCACAGATTCACCAGCGCAAGAACATTGCGATTTGTTTCCACGCGCTTTCCAAGGGTAAACTTACTAACCAAATTTGTTTTTTTTTTTTACATAATAATACTAGATATATTTACCACTTCTCCGAACAATTCCAGAAATATTTCCTGAATACAATTGATCTCCTAACTAACTAAAACTACCCTGCAATTCTTAGACATTAACGTCACTGTTGCTTGGAGCTCCTTTTTCCTTGGCAGCAAATTCAGGATTGACAAACGAAAATCCGTGGAAGTCGTTCTGGTTAATGTTGGCTATGAATGATTTGTCGCACGGCGTCAGTCGAGCCGCCTCGTCTGTGAACTCGGGATCGAAATTGTCAAAGGAACGCTTGGATTTCTGTTGATAAACAAGCAAAAACTGAATATCCAGAAAATAGAACTGATTCTGGCCACAATAAATAGTGCTTGGGATGAAAACTGCTACAAGCAAGTCTCTATCATTTAGCTCATGGCCGTACCTTATTCACACACCTGGCCCGTTTCTCGAAAGCCCCGGAAACTTTTCGGGCCCGTAAAGCCGTTTTTAGTTAATCTGTGTCTAAAAACAGAAAGGTGCATACGCCTGAAACTTCTAAGAACTTCTGATAATATTAGGAATATGTGAATAAAACAGCTCTGTAATCATAACGTTTGAGATTTTGCTACGGTTTCCCAGGTGCGAAAACTTTTCGGGACCTTCAAGAAACGGACCCCCTGGGTCGAGGAAGTTGTTGAGAGTAGTGTCTCAATGATGCAAACTCAATCAAGGACTGAAATTTTTACTGCGAAGACATTTTGTTGTTGCTGTTTTTTTCTCTCTCTCCTAATGACAACATCTCCCTGCTACCAGTTGGCGCCATTTTTAATTTCTCCAGACAAACTTTAATATTTCTAGACGATTTCTTTTTGTTTGCAGCCTTGTTATAAAACTTTAACCAAAGTAGGATGGTTCAGACTGAAATTTAATCCGTATTGTGCTTGCCTTTCTACTGAGACGCATGATCAGACACACTAAAACAAAAAAAGCTTTCGGATCTCTTTACGGTATCCAATTCACATTATCAACCCAGTTGATAAAACCAAATCATTTTGTTATACTCTCCACCGACGCAGCACCACAGTTTCTTTAGAAACTTACCCCCTCTACACTAAAAAAACATAACCTTGCCCAAGTTCGTCCACTGAGGCAGATTTTAAGCGTCCCTAGTATGAAAACCGCCAATACCAAAGATCAAGATACAAAACAGTCACGTACATCCTCTCTCGCTGAGTCCGTCGTGCGTGACGCGAAAGAAAACCGCGAGAAAAAAACGTGACCGCGCGAAATCCTGGGGTTTCCCCGCCACCATTTTTTTATTTTTTTCGCGGAAAGAGGGACTACTCGTAGTCTACCTGCATGAATACTTACAATTTTTGGTTTGAATGGCGGTTGAACTTCTCTATTAAAAAGCTTCAACCAATTAATGTGCCTGAAAAACACGTGGTCTTTGATGTTTTGTTCTCCGTTCTCTCCACAGCCCAAGCGCTTGGCGGGGTGCTTGGTCAAGAACTGCAAGGAACAACAAAATCAAGCTACAACTCATGCGTGATACACAGTTTTAAAGCGGGTTTCAATTGAGTGTCGAAAGTAATCACGCAATTACTTTGGTTTTGGTTTTGGTTTTACTGCGGTTCAAGACTGGCCGAGTAGTCTTATTCAGGCTTTTAGCCTGATGAACTTCCAGGCGTTATTTTTCATATGTTGCTTACAAATTGTTCATTTGAGCACACCCGATAGCGCATTTTGGGCGCCCACTTTTCAAATCCTGGCTAAAAGACTGGTCTTATTGCTAAGTAATTGGTAAGGTTTTGGTTATACTACACTCAATTGAAAGCTGCTCTAAAGTATTCACTGTTACTACACGTATTTATAAAACAACTGAAATACTACGCGCGCTCTCATTGGTCGATAGGTGTGTTTAGATCAGAGTATGTAAAACGGCACGGTTGTGACGTTTTGGATTCGCGTGTATGTTTGAGAAATATTATATAAAAGCAACAGAGTACTTTTTCCGTGTTTACATAACCACATCTAAAAATATGGGGGGTTGGAAGAACTCTCGAAAGTTATGCAAACCCTCGACTGCGTCCCGGGTTTGCATAACTGTCTCGAATTCTCCCAGCCCCCCTCGTGAGGGGCTATGTAAACACGGAAAAAAGTCCTCTACTGCTTAAATAGAAATGGAAAACATAGTACAAAGAAGTCATCTAGTCAACAAATAGATTCCATATAGCCGTGCGTCTGTTCAGTACAAGATCACAGATGATGTCAAAACATGGTAAGAACAAAAAAGTGGCACACGAGGGGATAGCCAAGTGCATCACTGATGTTCTTACCACATTTTGACGTCCTCAATGATCTATTACTGAAAAGACACACGGCAACATAAGTAAGAAGCTAAGCAATCCCAATGCGAGAATGATTTGACATATTATCTAAAACGCTAGACTACGAGTAATCCCTCTTTCGCTTAGTCCGTCGAGAACGCGAGGAAAAAATGGCCGCGTGAAATCCTGGGGGCAAGAAGCGCTTTCTCGTCCCCAGGATTTCGCGCGGCCATATTTTTTTCTCGCTGTTTCCTTTCGCGTCACGTACGACGGACTCAGCGAAAGAGGGACTACTCGTAGTCTACTGAAACGTCTTCTTAGACTCTTCTCACCCCTTTGACAATGAGCACCGCCTCCTTTGATACTGATCTAGGATATGACACACTGTGCTCCAAAATGGAGTTGAATAGTTCATCTTCATCATCGCCATCAAAAGGAGGCTACGAAAACATCAAGAAAAACAACCTCATGACAATGTCAACACTGGAATAGAGAGGAAGGGGTGGGTCGGGGGAAGATGGGTCTAGGTGGAGTCAGATAAACCACCCCTCCCCTTTGTCTCTACTTTGTCACACGCCACGATCTTTCTTGTGGCTAGGAGAATACCTATTTCCTGGTTAATGCATTCTACGTTTGTTTAGCGAAAGCCATTTTTTTCAATTACCGTAGAATTTCTCGCGCGTTTATTGGCCATTGTGTTTAAGAGAACATAAAAATCAAGTAACGTCAGGGACCACGTCACCCGAATTTTTGACCTTTGATTTCTGAAAGAAAGTGAATTCACTCACTTTTGTTTGCCGTTTATCCACGTTTCAGACATGTAATGGTTAAATGTTAGCTTCATTCTGGTCAAAAGTGCTGGAAAACTTTACCCTCTACCCATTTTGCCTTTTCCCACGCCTGTACAATGGTGAAAAAACACTTTTCATCTGATAAAACTATAGTTACAACATTGAAAGGCGAAACGGGGTTGCCAACGTCTATTCTATAGTTATATAATTTACGTTCTTGATTTCAAGTTTTTACGTCTTCCTCCTCTTCCTTCCATCCGTGGCTTTTTTTGTACTTGTTGTGTTATTGAAATGCTCCTTCACTGTTTCACGTGGTTATTTTTATATTTCACTCAATTTAGTGGCCGTTTTCCGAGGACACAGTTCCTTCACGTTGTTTGTTATAAGTTTAAATTAGATTTCTACTGCTTCAACAGAGAGTGGAAGTTTCTCACTGACCTGTCCGGCTAACATCTCGTAAATAAGGACTCCAAGGGCCCACCAGTCAACAGAAAAGCTGTACGGCTGATAAGCAACAATCTGCGACACACGTGGAAAGAAGACTAAGTCAGTTGGCAGAACAAGCTGCCCCTTACCACAAATATCTGGATACATTTTCGGATATTTAGAACTTTCCGAGATATTTCCGGACAGACGCTATTTCGGGAAGAAGCTAAATTCCCGGCCGAAACTACAAAGAAAAGTATAGGAACAACTCCCGCTAATAAGGAATTGCGGACACTTCATGTGGTCCCAAAGTAATATTTTTACTATGCGTTCTTCTCTCGTTACGACATATAACCTGGACGTATTGAATAAATGAATGTCTTTATTTCTCATCTCATTTTTCGGCGCACATGAAAGGGAAAAAAGGACCCCCTGATCGCAAGTTAGTCCTGAGGGTGTCCACTGTAACGAGAGTTGACTGTAATACGAACCCTTCTAGTAATATAGGCAACCGAGACTAAATATCAGCCCTATAGAGCAAATTCTAAACAGACTATCAGAAAAGAGATTTGATCAACTTGATGAACATTAACAACGGTAAGCTAAACGTAGTTTCTCATTACTATACCTCGGGGGCAATGTAATCAGGTGTTCCACAGAAGGTCCGTGTCGTCTTCCCATCGTTCATGTTCTCCTTGCACATTCCAAAGTCAGCAATCTTGATGTGACCTTCACAATCTAGCATTACATTGTCCAATTTTAAATCTCTGAAAAGATTTAAAATAGATGAGTAAGACTTGTTGGGATACTTACAACATTACGTTAAAACAAAAGAATTTTCAAATATCATGTGTACTCTGCATCCTTAATTCCACTCGCACTCATAAGATTACCTTTACATATGCAGCCCTTACATCACAACAAAAACAACAACAACAACAACAACAACAACATCTTTTATTTACACACGGTGGGTTAACATCACTTGCCAACAATTTCGCACGATTTTAATTTCGGACGAAAGAAGTGTTCGAAATAAAACCGTTCGAAAACTTTTATCGTCCG